GCCGCCGCGCGCGCCCCCTGGGCCCCCTCCCACCAAGCCCCCTCCCCCAGACCCGGCCCTCACTTTGTTTGCAAAGCAGCGTAATTGGTTTAAGCCCGGAGGCTGGGGGAAGAGGGAAATGGGGTGGGGGTGGGGTGCAACCCCCTTTGGAAGAGGAAAAAAGAACAACAGCCTGGGCGGGCGAGCGGGCGAGGAGTGTCCACAGGACCCGCGCAGCCGGGGAAGAGCTGGGGCGGTGGCGTTGGAACCCAGACCCGGGGGCAGAGCTGGCTAAACGACCCAGGGTCTCTCCCCAGGGACCTGCAACCTTTTGGATGGCCCGACAGCACCCCGTCCCGCGCCCCTCCTGCTCCTCTGCTCGCGCCCAGCCCCCACCCTCCTGATTCCTGCCCTAAAGTACAACCTCACGCCCGCCCTTCCGGACTTCAGGCTTGAAAAAGAAAAAAGTCCCACTTTTGCCCGGTCACTAGAAACTCGGCCATCTGAGTCAGCCGAGCCCAGGGACGTTAGGCCGAGCGGGCTCCTGGCTAGCAGAGTGGAGACGCTGCCACGAAAGCCGTACCTGCGGCTGAGAGCGGGTGAGTCATAGCACCGTTTTATACCTTTATGACATAACTTTTTTTTCCCCTGCCTCGGTCCGCTCTACTCCCCTTGTCATCTGTAGCAGTCACAAAGAGGAAGAAACTGCGAACAGATGTCTGCGTGATAGGGCAGGCGGATCTGAGCCGGGCAGTCCTCCCTCTGCCCAGCTCCTCCTCCCACCCCCCTTCCCCAGCCTTGGGGACTGAGCTGGAGGCGACCGTCCGGTTTCTGATAGGGAAAGGTCAGGGGGAGGGGACAGCTCCCTAATGAAGCGCCTTAGCTGGGAGAGCCGGGGCGCCGGCGCGGGACTGCAGCCGCTCGGCTAGGAAGGTGCCGGGCGGAGCCCGCGGTGGTCTGCGGCGGCGCCTGGCCCAGCCTCTGGCTTGGACGGGCCGGGCTAGGACAGTAGGCTCTCACTGGGTTCCTAATCGGTCCGGACATTTGTGGGAAGTTCTCTCCTGAGCAAAGTCTCTCGACTCCCATGAGGCCCTGGGTAGTGGGTTGCCCACAAGTCCCGAGGAGACCAACTGAAGTGACTGGGAGACTGGCGCGAAATTGGTGATAGGTTTGCGTGACGGTGCATGTGTGAGTGTCTGAGCGTGTGTGTTTTAAATGTGACCGTGTGTTTCTGAGTGTGTCATACCCTCTGTAGAAGCACCAGGCTTCTTTAGCAACAAAATGACCAAGAATCCACAAAATATTCTTGTTTGGCAAAGTTTTAAAAATGTTATAATCTCATTTTGAGAAGTGTGTTTTAACTTGTCCTCCAAACCGATACCCACCCCCGCCCCCCTTTGTTCTTTTAAATCTTTCTTCCTTGAAATCTGGCATCAGAATCAGGTTAAATCCTTGAACCAAACAAATCTCTTAAATCAGCAGGGGAGCAAAGAGGGTGAAGATGTGCAGTTAAGGAAATAAAAAAAAAAGATAAAAGCATTGGATTACAATTCCCCTTTTTTAACAGAAAGGGGGGGGTACCTCACATTGTAAGAAAAGGAATGAGAGTGAAATGAAATCCACCTGGAAATCAGAAGAGTGGGCGCCCTGCCTGAATGCAGCCTCGCAAGTCAGACCCATCACTTTGTGTAAATGTGTTGAGAACCGTGGGGGTCTGCACATATTTCCCATCAGCAGCAGGACCTTAGTTCCACTTGTAAAGAACACGGATGCTTCGCTTCCTCGGCCTGATTGGAGCGGGTGGGTGCGGGCGGGGGCGGGGGCTGGGGCTTTCGGTGCTAATGAGCTTCCTTGTTCCTTCCGTGGTGGCACTCCGACGCCGTCCTGGCATGACCAGGGCATGTTTCTATGGGTAGTGACAACTTAGGAACAGCTTTCATGGTGCACAGGAAGCTGGTGCTTTAAGGGGGCAAAACTGCTTTCACTTGAAAGGGGGTCAATGAAAGCAAGTATTTTTCCTCTATTAGCCTACATTTGCCAAACCTACCAGGCCTCATCTCAAAAAAAAAAAAAAAAAAAGAAAAAGAAAAAGTCAACCTAAGTAAAAGAATAAAGCCCTTGTTCACAGCGGGATGGCCAAAGCGAAGTTTCTCTTGAGCTTCCTCAAAGCCCAAAACCGGTGGTCAAGAGTGGACGCTGCCAGCTTTAGAGCCTTGATCCGGCTGGGGGGTTCCGCGATCCGCAGACCCTGCAGACCAAGGCATTGCCGTGAGCACAGCGCCTCCTGTCGTGGGGAGGGAGCGCTGAATCCTTCCGATGGCGCCCCTAGCAGGCTTCCCCGGGGAGACCGGGACCTGCACGCCTTCCGCGGCCAGAGATTTTGGTCACACAGCCGACTGCCTAAGGCCTAGGTAGAGGAAAGGTGGCACCTCGGTTAGCTCCCAGTCTCTCCATCTCAGTGGGCGGTATTCCAAGACACCTAATAAATTTAGGAGGTGAAGGTTTGGTGCACCCAGATCCAGCCAGTCATTTCCCCAAGGTTTAAAGACGAGTCATCTGGGCCATTCCGGATCTTTGATGTGGAAAATAAACAACAAATAAACAAAGCTGCTGCCTGGGGTTGCTGGCCAGTGGGCAGTCAGGTGGCACCCCTGGCGGCTGCATCTCGGTGGTTTCCAACGTCTTCTCCCAATGGGCCCTGTATTTAGGCTTTGCAGAAGACTGCTGCTCTTTCCGGGGAGCTAGACCTGTGTTCAGCCTTGGGGAGCCACGAGGGCAGCCACATGGCGGCTCCTGGGGAGTCCCGGGCCAAACCTGGGCGAGAACGGGTCTGCGCGAGCCTGGGACGCCCGGGGTGCCGGGGCAGGCAGGCTCCTGGGGCAGAGAAGTCAGGGGGCGGTCAGACAGTGGGTTTCGGGGTTACTCCTGGGGCCCCAGGGAAGAGGAAGCGGCTCCGCCCTTCCCGGAAGCTGAGCCTTCCACGCCCGTAGGGTCTGCACCTCACACCCCCTCGCATGGGGAGCAGGCGGCGCACGGTCCAGCGGCCAAACTCGGCACCTCCCGCTCCCCTTTCCGGCAGTGCCTGGGCGCAGCCCCTTCCCTAGATCTTCTCCGAGGCGACGAAGGAGCGGAGGGTGACCGCGGCGAGAGATGAATGA